CTTATTAATATAATTAGTAAATGATGTGTAAATTATTCAAACAATGCAATTTAATAAAACAATTTTAAATGTCGAAACTACTACTATTGGCTTATTCATCATTTGATTATTTGACCCGAAGCCAATTTGACTCATTCACATATTTCATTCCGTCCGAACCTGATGTATTATTTTAGATAATCATAGAAAAATAACATTTTTTGTTCCTCTTATTCAGTTGCTTATTATGTAATTAATGACGTAACTAATTCCTTTGCTTAATTTCCTGTAATTATTATTATATCTTTAGTAACGTGCCCGGTCCTTTGTCTTTGATCATAATTTTGATTTCCTTGTTGTCTATATTTAATGCTTATGTAATTGATTAAGTGTGATTGATTATACTGTGTTGGCACTTTTTTATATTTTACACGTCTTAGCTCACACTTTTGTACATTGATTCATTCAATTCAAGGTGGCTGTCGTTATACATGAACTATCAACCTCTGGCAAATTTGCATTGAAGACATTTAAAAAATGCTAAAATATTAACTTCGTGTTAAGTGAGTATAATCTCTGACAAGATCGATACTGTGATCTTTCGTTGCTGTTGGTTTTAAAATTTATTGCTTTGTACTATTAGCACATTTATCTTAGCAGAAATAAATAGTTATGTGTAATTTTTTTATTTACACCTATTCAACATATATTTGTATTTAGTTTTTTATACAGTTATATAGTTTAGTAGATACTTTACACTACTTGCAAAAAAGTAATATATTGGAAAAAGTAGAATTAAATATTATTCAAATAAATTTTTTTCATTAAATAAAATACACAATATATAATACAAAATACAAGTGCATGGTATCGTGCATTAAGGCAAATTGCTGGAACATCCCTACCGAAAATTGATTTTTTTAAAAATGCTTTGAAATTTTAAATTCAGCCAGTTCATTATTTCGACAGTACAAGTAATTTTTTTTTAAAATCATTCAAATCGGTTGATCCGTGTTTTCGAAATCGTTGTCGAAAAATTGTATTCGCACATACACACACATATATGCATACACACACCCATATATGCATACACACACATACATAAATTTTTTCTAATAAGTGCTGAAATGTTCAGAAAGTCTAGAAACGTAAATATATATAAAAATTTTAATCTTATATATAATATACTATAACTTACCATACGGAAAGTTAAAAAAATCGAAAATGAAAGTTTTTATAAATTTTGGTTTTGGAGATCGAGTGATAAAAGTATAAAAAAATCTTTGAAAACATTTACAACGATTGTTATTAATCATCGATCAATATTTATTGATTATTAATTTTGTTGTTAAGTAATTATGGTAAGAGAAGTTCCAACAATTTGCCTTAAGGCACGAAAATAAGGAATGAAAATAATCAATAATTGGTTTAAATAATTTCAAATTGATTATTTATTACATACTGTAAACTTATAACTTTTTAAATTGATGACAAGATTTCATTTTTTTTTGATAATTTAGAATTTTTTTTAGAAATTTGAAATTTTTTAGAATTTGAAAAAAAGTTTTTTCTAAATGTTTTGAGAATTTCGAAATTTTTGAAAATATTCCATTTTTTTGAAATTATTGAAATATTCTTAAATTTTTGTAAGAAAATTTTGAAAATTTGAATTTTTTTGAAAATTCTGTTTTTTATTTTGAAAATTTTCTAAATTAATATTAAATTTTCTGTAAATGCATTTTTTGCACACCGTTTACTCTACCAAAAGGTTTTTTGAATTAATCTAATCGGATAATCCGTTCTCTCAAAAATTGCACAACCGCTTTTAACCCTCTGCGCTCCAGACCTCCAAAACGGCAAAATTGCCTTTTGCAAAAACGCCTCGCGATCAAGTACAAACCGATGATTTTTAATCATACAAATTGGTTATTCTATACTGTCGAAAATGTCGAGGACATTTGTTTGAACCATATACGTGAATTTTAAAATTAAAATTCTTAGTACGGAACTCAAAAAAGTTTACACAAAATGGATACACATTATTAAAATCTCTATAAAATATCTGATAATTTGATGTACATATGTGCGATAAACATTTTTGACCGCTAAATTGCATACTTTTTTTTAACTTTTTTTTATTAAGAGTCTATAACCGCTAGACATGTTTTCCCCAAAATTTAATCAGTTATTCATCTTGTCAATACAAGTAAAATGTTTTTTGAATTATTAATATTGGACGCTCCGTTCTCTCAAAAACTTAGTTACCGTTTTCGGCACTTTTTGCCCCGCATCTTCGGAACGTCTAGACCTGTCTTTGCCAAAAACTAATCAGCACTTGTCCTTATTAATATGAATCGAATGTTTTCTTAATTATTCAAATCGGTTATTCCATACTGTCGAAAATGTCGAGGACATTTGTTTGAACTATATACGTGAAATTTAAAATTAAAAATCTTGGTACGGAACCCATAAAAGTTTACACAAAATGTGTACACATTATTAAAATCTCTATAAAATATCTGATAATTTGATGTGCATATATCCAATAAACATTTTTGACCGCCAAATGGCATTTTTTAAAATTATTTTTATTGAGAGTCCATAACCGCTAGACCTGCCCACCCAAAAATTTAATCAGTTATTCAACTTATCAATACAAGTAAAATGTTTTTTTGAATTATTAAAATCGGACGCTCTGTTCTCTTAAAACCTGAGTTACCATTTTTGGCACGTTTTGTCCCGTATCTTTGGAACGGCTAGACCTGCCTTTGTCAAAAACTAATCAGCACGTCTCCTTATCAATACGAATCGAATGTTTTTTGAATTATTCAAATTAGTTGTTCCCAAAATCGTCAACGAAAGTTTGTATTCGCACACACACACACACATGCATCCATTTTTTCTAAGGCATGCCAAAACCTTTGAAGCGTAAAGATATATAAAAATTTTCATTTTCGATTTTTTTGCGATTACTATAACTTGCCCTACGAGAAGTTAAAAATTGAAAAAATTAAAAAACCGGAAAAAATTCCAAATTTTTATTTCTATTGCATGATAATTTAAATCCCATATTTTCTGACGTTTGCTGGCCCTTTTCACATTACATGACTATTGAATTTCAATTAAATGATCTATTTATGTTTTCGTATAGCAGTATGTAATTTACAAACATATTTACTTCCAATTGCCCCTGAGGTATTCGCAACCACGCTTTCAATAGAATTTTTAAACTAGTGGGGCGCATGGCATTGTGCCTTGAGGCAAATTGCTGGAACTTCCCGTAACAAAAAATATTTTATTTTTTAAAAGATTAACAGTTTTAAAAAATTTACTTTGAAAAAAATAAGATTTTTGAGAAACTATAAATTTTTGACAAAAATGTACTTTTTTAGAAAAAAAAACTTTTTGAAAAAAAAGGTTTTCGTTATTTTCAAATATTTTGAAAATTCGGAACTTTTCAGAGTAATCGTACTATGCTTTAACTGCATAGAGACTAATTATCGAAGCGCGTAACTACCGCGTCGCCGTCTAACTGATAAACATTGCTAATGAACCCATAAAAATGTAAACAAAATTTATTCTTATTGTTAAAATCTCTATAAAATATCTTTTACTATTTTCACTAGATCTCCGAAACCGCTAGATCTGCCTTTATGAAATTTTAACCAGTTCTCCTCTTGTCAATGCAAGTAAAATGTTTTTTGAATTATTAAAATCGAACGCTCCGTTCTCTTAAAAACTGATTTACCGTTTGTGGCACTTTTTGCCTCGTATCTTCAAAACGGTTAGACCTGCCTATACCAAAAACTAATCAGCACGTCTCCTTATCAACAGTAATCGAATGTTTTATTGAATAATTGAAATCGGTTGAACCGCATTCCCAAAATCGTCGACGAAAATTTGTATCCGCACACACACACGCATACACATGTACACATACACACATGAACACATACACACATACACACACACTTACAACCATTTTTTCTAAGGTATGCCAATATGTTCAGAAACCTCTGAAACGTAAAGATATATAAAAATTTCATTTTCGATTTCGTTAAATATATTTTCAAGTTGCTCCTGTATTCTACAAAAAAAGCTTAATAGAACATTCAAGACAGTTATTAATAGTCGCTTAATGTATTAAGAGCCTGGAAACGAGAAAAATGATAAGATTTTAGGTATCATGCAGAAAAATCAGTAGATCGAAGATTTTGTCGTTTCTTTAATTTTTTAAAAATCTTTTGCCATTTGACCCCCAATTTAGACTTCAGATTATTGTTCAGCGGTAAAAAGCTACATTGAAAAACATATGCCGCATATACAGTTAACTTGTTTCATTTTGTATTTGTGTTATTGTTTAGCTAAATGCAATACGCAAAGCCTGGAACTCGTTTACCAGCAGAATTGCTTTTTAATAAATCATGGATGGATGGCGCCATTGTTTTTTATTTTTATAGAACTTAGTTATTTTGATATTAATTACAGCCAATTTTGCGATTCAAAAATGAGCAAACGCGGAAAGTATGTGGAAAGTTTAGAACATATAATTTTATCATATTACAGATTACAAGAAAATAGAAATCACTTATTGTATGAATTATACAAGATGAAAGAATTAAGTTAAACAAATGAAGACTTAAGTTAAACAATTTAATTTATTTAATATAGATTCAAATATTGAATGTTGTAGAATTATATACAACTTTTTGGATAAATGTTACATTTTAAGTTAAATTCTGTAAACTTTGTTCATGGCAAGTTTGTAAATAAGAGATCAAATAAATTTATTATAATAAAAAAGTATAGCTCATTCAAAATCTTATATATTAAAATAAAAACGCCCAATATTGGCTGAAATATTTTTATTTTTTGAACTATTTTTTATATAGCTTTTAAAATGCTTATAAATTAGAAATATATACAAAACGTCTATGATATTTCTGTTTTAATATCATTTTCAGATAGTCAGTAGATTTCTGTCATTGTTGCACGAACATGTTTGTAATGTCGAGACACACTTAGTAATGCTGGACCGTTGGGGCACTTTTAGACACAACAGCGTTGAAACCGTGGACATCATCGGCTGTGTAGTCGACCGTTCTTACGGAGCCATCTGGTTCCACTAAGGAATATTGACCTGTAATTGACAAATAAAAAATGATTGTTTTGATATAATATGCTATTGATTATACTTTTTAGATGTGTTCGATTTGTTTTTCTACCTTTAACGACATCTCCATCGCGAGCTTCGTGCTGAGATTTTACATCGCCGGTGTGATGATCGGCAACGCCGTAGTTGTATTGGTATTTAGGGTGAGACTGCAAATAGAAAAGTTATTGTAGCCGACGTTCTTTATTAGAATAAAATAATATTTTATCGCAAATCGATTACGTAGTAGTCGTGTCCGTGTCCGTGTCCGTAGCCAGCGTAGCCGTCGTAGGCGTGTCCGTATCCCAATCTGTAGCCGTGACCATGTGCGGCGTAGGCCACCGGGTGTGCGTTATGGCTCTCGTAGTTCGCGTAGCTCTGGCCTAATCCGGCGTGGCCGTGAGCGCCATAATCGTAGCCCCCGTAGCCGTAGTGGCCGACGGTGGGGGCTGCGTGAGCTACGGCGTAGCCGTGAGAGTATCCTCCGACGTGTCCTGGCACCAATCCCGCACAGGCTACTCCTACGAGAGCTGCGATAGCTAAACACTGAAATCCGATATTATCACATATTAATCAAAACTATTCCTCATTATGTTAAACGTAGTTAGTATTGTTGTCGCCACCTTGGTAACAATTGCCATGTTTGGACTGTTTGTCGACACAAATTCAACTGTTGGTCCGATTTCGAGACATTTGCCTTATATAGTTCGTACGAATTTCGATCGGTCGCGATCAAAAGTACACCCAAGGTCGTTCGTTATTCCTCCCCCTCTTGGAATTCAAATTTCATATCACGCAACTGTCCAAGCGTGTCTTCGTCAAGAAAGAACACTGACGTACTTTATTACCGGAAATTGAGAAACATTGCAACATAAAAAATTCAACAATAAAATAGATATTTTAGTAACAAATTGCTATATATTTTTTTTAAATTTCATAATGATACAAAATTATAAAGTTTACAAGTAAAAATATTTAACAATATAATTTTAAATGAGATATAAATTTCTTACAATTACTTTAAAAAAATAATTATATATTATGTTGTTAAGTTAGGTTAGGTTCAACGATTTTTTTGTATATCACTCCTATAAAAGCTTGCATGTGGGTGGAGTAAACAGGACCAACTGAATCTTTACCATGACAAAGGTGTAAACACAAAAATAGTAAATAAAAACGTGAATTAAGTTAAAAAAAAGCAACTCAACAAGAGATAAATTAAAAAAGTAGATATTTCAACACTGTTCATATTTATTTCTGTCAAAATAGCAGATTAAGGTTATAAACAGCGTTATTTTTATTAAAAATGTGCTCATTAAGTTTGTAATTTTTGTGGTTGAGTATTGTAGCGTAGCTCTCATTTAATAAAATTCATTTGAAAAAAAAAACATTATATCTGTTCACTTTTTGGCAGTCCCATTTTACCTTTCCTATAGGATAAAAAGAACTCGGTGACAAATTTATGAAAAACAGCAAATAGTTATATGTTTTATATGTGTTATTCGTTGTGATATAATTGATTTGGTTTTCAAAATGTAATTGCTCAAAGTCAAATTGACCCTTTGTGCCTCGCCCTACCCTATATTTATGTTTGTATATATGTATATATATATATATATATATATATATATATCTTATATATAAAATTTTTCTGTAACTATGTATGAATGGTTAATTCTCCTAAACTATAATTTGGATTTTCATGAATCTTCCTGAAGTTTGTTCGGGAAATTTTCTAGAATTTTTAGATTCATACAAATATAGTTAGATTGTATAAATAAATGGAAAAAATTTCAAGAAACCGCTTATTATTGCTTGTCCTTGGAAATATTTAAGGTATGGTTTGACATTAAAACAAATGAAAACTGTCATTTGCCAAACATTCCCATTCACTTATAAGCTAAGACAATATTAAAATATAATATATTTATGATTATGAATAAGAAAAATGTAATGACTACATTACTAATGCCAAAAAGCAGCTGATGAGCCAAAAATTAAAATAATATAAGATTTACAGTCAACATCTGACAGGTGATGCAGTCTGCGCAGTCAGTGATCGCACATCAAACTTAGCCTAGAATTCACTTTGACTGATTATTATTTTTTAACTTTTAAATGCAGTCGTGTTTTGCCTTAATTTACTAAATCACGATACAAAAATAATTTACTTATTCAAATCATTATTTAGAAGTTTCATTGTGTCAAAAATTCATATGTTTGGCATTGGATACGAAATATTTACTCAAGACAATGGAGCATTTTGGGTCTGAATATTTTTAATGTGCTCCAATTTGCATGAAATTTTGGAATTAGGTTCATCTTACTCTCAAGTTTAAAAGTAAAAATAATTTAGAATCATTTGCCACTTCCCGAGGGGATGGCTTCCCTTTTCAGTGCTGCAATTGTATCTCTTTCAAACTAACGCCGGATATCGATAAAAGATCTAATTAGAAGAGAAAAATGTTTAATAATGTTTTTCAAAAAAGAAATAACTTTTCAAGTTACTGGCTTCTTAAAATTTGTTGTTTTTTGCGTTTTCCATCGTTTTTTGCGAATATTTCTAAAAATATACATTTTAACAAAAATAATGTAATAAACAAAATTATATCAATTAAAATCTTCATAAATCGGTGTTTTATAAAATGTTCTAGGAACAATATTAGGCTAGATATGAAAATGAAGTTTTATAGTGCAAAAAATAAGTTTTAAAATGAGTACTTCTGCGTGTAAAATGATTGAGATATCATGCAGATAAAAAACGCTTGCGTTTTTTTCATTTAAATCAAATAGTTTATGAGTGAGTTTATAAACTTAAGATAAAGATTAGCCTATTTCCGATATATGTTTTTTCCCTCTCCATTTACTGCAATAATTTTGTTGATCGTAGGTTGAAAAGAGCACATGTGAACAGGATTTGACAAATTAATTCACTTCAAATATGACATAAATGATAATGTATATTGAATTATTGGTGAGATAAATGTAATTTAGGTATTGAAATTACTGAAAGCCAGTTAAAATATGGTACGAAATTATAGAAATAATAGGCAACATTATTGAAGCAATTATTTTGGGTAGAAAAGTGCAAGGTGTTATTGTACCTTTACCGCGAATGCTATATATTAATTCTTTCTGAATTTGTTATACCTTTTAAAAGACTTCAATTTTCAACACGTGTATCTTATGCTTATGTATCAATTTCCAATACTTATATACCTTATATATCTTATGCTATAAATCAAAAAAGGCTGACGATGAATTTTTGTGTGATAAATTTGGAAAATCAATGTTTTAGTCGAGAATAAACAAAATATCATTCAAATTATACATCCACATTTACGGGTATGACTGAAAAATTGTATAACCTTTGGCATTAAAATAAATTGAGCTATTGGAAATAAATTTGTTCTATAAATTGCAGTGTATAATTTTTTATATACAATTTTATTGAACATATTTTAATATTTGTTAAATGGATAATTGAAGTGTTAACTGTGGGAATTGAGAATAATCATTTTATTTGAAACAGTTCTACATTCAACATTACTCATATATGGTGTAAATAGTATTTTGAAAACCAATAATTATTATTTTTAACTAAACGGTATAAATATTAGTATAGGGTATTTAAAAAAACGTAGATGTGGGTACAGGACAACGTCTGTCGGGTCATCTAGTATATATATATATATATATATATATATATGTATATATATATGTATATAAATATATATATATGTATATATATATATATATATATATATATATATATATATATATATATATGTGTATATATATATTTATATATGGATTCGTCGTGGCAAAGATCGTTAACGCGTTGACTTTGTATGGACAGGGTCGCACGTTCGAATCCCCGCTATGGTAATCTGACATCGGGCAGCGCGATGTCCATTTTCAATTGAAAATATAGAAAAAAAATGTTTCCAATTGAAAATAAGCCCATCTCGGGCACTGCGGTTTGAAATGGCAATGGGAAACCTCTCACACTATTCTTCCCTGAAGCGAGTTGGAGTTTAACTCAGCTCACGGACCTGCCCTAGGGCAGCACTACCCCTTATTTTTAATATATATATATATATATATATATATATATATATTAGAGTGGTCTTTAATATGGACATTTTCGAGTTGTTTTGCTCCCAGTGGCTCAAATGCTTTCAAATTGATAAAAAAAATCTATAAGTTTTAGCTCTCAATATTGCCTCTTAGATAGTGCGCAATTTAATCAAAGATTTATATGGAAATAGCATGAGAAAATTTTCAAAAATTTTAAAAATATTTTTTAGATATAACAGCGAACAAATGAATAAGTTTTATTCAAATTTCGACGCTATACAGAACAAATGATAACTAGTTGGAATTGGTATTTTGCTTTAAGGCAAGTTACATGAACTTCCCGATATTTGTAAATAATCGACTTAATCAATAAAAAATAAATTAATTAATGAGTGATTAAAAGTATTCTGAGTGGATTTATTACACATAATTAAAACCGAACGAACAGGTTAACTCGGAGAATTTTCTAAAAACAAATTTTCAGAAATCAACAATTTTTATAATTGTACCAGTTTCCGTAGAACTTTAATGGTTTAGTATGCTTATTAAGACCAGGTATATTATCATTATACCACGTAAATCGTCTAATCTTAATTTTAACTAACGTCAAAAAAACTACTCATTTTCTCAAATTGTGATGAATTTTTAAAATTAAATATATATTTCCAAAAAAGTTCCATAAAAATCGGCTTAAATTTTTTTTCCAAGAGTTAATTACAAGAAACGGCTCTGTAGATTTTCAGCTAAAACTAGTCAGTATCATTCCCAACTAATATCTTTCGAACAGTTTTTGATTTTTTTAAATCGATTCGGTAGTATGAGCTTAAATGTAGGCAAAAAGTTTAACACTTTTTTCCAAATTACAAAGAAGCGGCTCGGCCATCGAGATAAATCAAAATCGTTGATGAAAGGTCTAATTTTGACAAATGCCAAAGAAACTATACTAATTTTTGCAAACTTTGACGAATTTTTAAAGTTGAACGAGTTGTCGTAGGGCCCTAATATTTTAGTATTATCTATAATATTATTGTATCTACTGTCAAAAAAATAATAATAAAAATCGTCGCATTTTTTTAACACTTTATTATAAGAAAACGGCCCGGTCGATTTTTACCAAAAAATAATCAGCACAATTAACAACCAATATCTTTCGAACAGTTTTTGAATTTTCAAAATCGATTCAGAATTGCGGGCTAAAACGTGTTTTTCACTTTTCTGCGAAGGAAACGGTTCGGCCGATCGTAGCGAAAAACTGACAAACGATGGTCTTCATCGAGATACATCAAATGGCTTGTAAATGTTTGAAATCGGTCCAGCCGTTTTTGAGAAAACGTCGATTTACGGCAAAAATCTGTATACACACACATACTTTTTTCAAATGTATGGAAATGTATCGAATGAGACATTCGATTCAGAATGGCTTGAAACGTCAAGAAAACATAAAATTAGCGAATCGAATTTTTTGATGAAAACATAAACTTCTTCTTCGGGAAGTTAAAAAACCTGTTTGGTAGAACGTCGAATTTTCAATAAAAGATGACACAAATTGTAACTTTTAATTCATTTGTCGCTAAGTTATACCTAAAGAACATTTTTAATTTTTTTGAAATTTTTGTCATGTACCGAAAAATCTTCGTGCGGAACCCCAAAAAATTACACAAAATATGTACACATTATTAAAATCTCTATAAACTATCTGATAATTTGATGTACATATGTCCAATAATCATTTTTGACCGCCTAACGACATTTTTTTAACTTGTTTTTATTGAAAGTCCATAAGCGCTGGACCTGCTTTCTCAAAAATTCAATCAGTTCTTTATCTTGTCAGTACAAGTAAAATGTTTTTTTGAATTATTAAAATCGGACGCTCCGTTATCTTAAAAACTGAGTTACCGTTTTTGGCGATTTTTGCCCCGTATCTTCGGAACGGCTTGATTTGCCTTAGCCAAAAACTAATCAACACGTCTCATTATCAATACGAATCGAATGCTTGTTAAATTATTCAAATTGGTTACTTCGTACTGTCGAAAATGTCGAGGAAATTTGTTTGAACCATATACGTGAATTTTAAAATTGAAAATCTTGGTACGGAACCCTGAAAAAAATACACAAAATGTGTACACATTATGAAAATTTCTATAAAATATTTGATAATTTGATGTGCAATTGTGCATATGCCTAATTATCATTTTTGGCCGCCAAAAGGCATTTTTTTAACTTATTTTTATTGAGAGTCGATAACCGCTAGACCTGCCTTCCCAAACATTCAATCAGTTTTTTAGCTTGTCAATACAAGTGAAATGATTTTTGAACTATTAAAATCGGACGCTTTGTTCTATTAAAAACTGAGGAACTGTTTTTGGCACGTTTTGCCCCCGGAACTGCTAGAATCGCTTATGCCAAAAATTATTCAGCACGTCTCCTTATCAATACAAATCGAATGTTTTTTGATTTATTCAAATCGGTTGGTCCGGGTTCCCGAAATCGTCGATGAAAATTTGTATCCGCACACACACACATACATCCATTTTTTTAAGGTATGCCAAAATGTTCAGAAACCTTAGAAACGTATTACTATAACTAGCCCTAAGGAAAGTTAATAAATAGCAAATGTTTTATAATTGGTCATTAGTAATTTATATGAAAATATATATTTATTTTTAGCTAATGCTGCTTTTGGCTGCAATTAGTGTCGCAAATGCTGGTTTATTGCACGGAGGGCATTCACCTGGGTACGTAGCACATAGCATAAGTCCTGTAAGGCACTACGGTTATGGCCATCATAGACCTCTCTTAAGCTAGCAAGACCAAATTAGCAAAATCGATCCAGACCTGTTGTATTATTTAGTGCAAATTTTTTTTGTGGTGCAAATTAGTACGAAATAAGTACTAAATAATACAACAGGTCCGGATCGATTTTGCTAATTTGGTCTTGCTAGCTTAAGAGAGGTCCATCATGGTTATGGAGGTGTTGCCCACAGCTACGTCAATAATGTAAACCACAATAATCACGGCGTTGCTTATGCCGGACGCGGTTTTGGTTATGCTCATCCTGGCTACGGTTTGAGTTTCGCTAAACTCGGCTATGGGGGATACGGGCATGCTTATGGAGGTTATAGACATGCTCATGGAGGTTACCGGCATACATTTGGAAGATACGGACAGGTCTATGGAGTAAACGAACATGCCCATGGAGGATATGTCTATGGAGGATACGGACTAACTCACGGTGGCTACGCTAGCTATGTCGGATACGGGCATAATGTAAGAAAACTTGTTGATATTAATTTATTTTTCAAATCTTTTAATGTTTGTGTTAAATTAATTGATTTTCGAGTCAATGACACTGCAGACTTTTTACAAGCATATGATAAACGCATTATTTACGCATGACTTATATTATAACTAGCTGTAAGTGGAATTCTGTCTTAAGGCAATTAAGGCATCGTGCCTTAACGAACTTCCCGTACCAAAAATTATTATTTTTTTAAAAACGATTAACATTTTTGAAAAAAAATTACTTCGAAAAAATGACAAACAATTAGACAAAAAATTACTTTTTTTGAAAAAAAAAAGTTTTCTTTTAATTTTTTTTTTAAATTTTTTGAAAATAATTTTTTTCTTTATTTTGACATATTTTGAAAGATCTAAACTTTTTTTCAAAGCAATTGTACTGCTTTAACTGCATAAAGACGAAATATCAAACTGCGTAAGCGCCGCGTCAACGCCTAACGCGTAAACATTGGTACGGAACCCATAGGAATGTAAACCAAAATTATACTTATTGTTAAAATATCTGATAATTTGATGTGCATATGTCTAATGATCATTTTGACCGCCAAATGGCATTTTTTTTACTTTTTTCATTAGATCTCCGAAACCGCTAGACCTGCCCTTATGAAAATGATCGATTCTTTACCTTGTCAATACAAGTAAAATATTTTTTGAATTATTAAAATCGGACGCTCCGTTCTCTTAAAAACTGAGTTACCGTTTTCGGCACTTTTTGCCCCGTATCTTCGGAACGGCTAGACCTGACTTCGCCAAAAACTAATCAGCACGTCTCCTTATCAATACGAATCGAATGTTTTTTGAATTATTCAAATCGGTTGATCGGTGTTCCCGAAATCGTCGACGAAAATTTGTATCCGCACATACATACACACACGCACACACACACACACACACATACATACATTTTTTCTAAGGTATGCCAAAATATTCAGAAACCTTTGAAACGTCGAGAAATGCAAAAATTTTCATTTTCGATTTTTTTGCGATTACTATAACTTGCCCTACGGGAAGTTAAAAATCTTAAGTTAATTTTTAGAACGTAACACAACAACAATTCAATTTTATTAATCGAGTACAAATGAATTGAATAATATTTTAACTTGTAATACATGACCCGTAAAATTAAACATTTTGAAGAATAAAAATAATTATTTTTAATAAAAATTTAATAAACAATTTTTCTAAATATTTTTAATTTAATTATTCGTATTTTATAGACAAAAATAAGAGCTTAAAAATTGGACGACTACGTTTATACATATATGTGACATAAAAAGTAAATAAACAATACTTAATCAAGTCGAGTAAGAATAAAGGACCTTATCTCATATTTCTAAGAATTATTTAAACTGAATTCCAATAATATTTTTTGTTTCAAGTATATAAGTGATCTATAAAATTTAAGCTAGAATTGAAATTAAAATTCGAATATTTTTTTATATTTAAAATGTTTTTTTTTTGTAAAATTTGAATAAAAAAAGTTGGATGCTTTTTTCTCTCAAAAACTGCAATGTTTACACTTTTAGCTTCGTGTCTCTAAAACGGAGAGATTTGTTTTTGCCAAAAACTAATCATCGCGTCTTCCCATCATTATGAATTCAATTTTCGATTTTTGGAAGATTACGCTATCTTATCCTATGGAAAATCAATAAATATTGTCCATTTAAAGGTAGAATTTAAAATATATTATTTTAGAATAAACTGAATTAGTTCTTGTAAAATGTCTCCACTGAGGTTTTTTTAACTTCCCGTAGGGTAAGTTATAGTAATCGCAAAAAAATCGAAAATGAAAATTTTTATATATCTTTACGTTTCAGAGGTTTCTGAACATTTTGGCATACCTTAGAAAAAATGGATGTATGTGTGTGTGTGTGTGTGTGTGTGTGCGTGTGTGTATGTATGTGCGGATACAAATTTTCGTCGACGATTTCGGGAACACGGATCAACCGATTTGAATAATTCAAAAAACATTCGATTCGTATTGATAAGGAGACGTGCTGATTAGTTTTTGGCGAAGGCAGGTCTAGCCGTTCCGGAGATACGGGGCAAAAAGTGCCAAAAAACGGTAACTCAGTTTTTAAGAGAACGGAGCGTCCGATTTTAATAATTCAAAAAACATTTTACTTGTATTGACAAGGTAAAGAATTGATCATATTTTCATAAAGGCAGGTCTAGCGGTTTCGGAGATCTAACGAAAAAAGTAGAAAAAAATGCCATTTGGCGGTCAAAAATGATCATTAGACATATGCACATCAAATTTTCAGATATTTTATAGAGATTTTAACAATAAGTATAAATTTTGTTCATTTTCCTATGGGTTCCGTATCAATGTTTACCCGTTAGACAGCGACGCCGCGCTTACGCGCTTTATATTTTGTCTCTATGCAGTTAAAGCAGCACGATTGCTTTGAAAAACAAGTTCAGATCTTCCAAAATATGTCAAAATAAAGAAAACATTTTTTTTTCAAAACAAAAAAATTAAAAAAAAAATTTTTTTTTTAAAAAATTTAAAAAAAAAATTTTTTTTTTCAAAAAAAAGTAATTTTTTGTCCAATTTATAGTTTCTCAAAAATCTTATTTTTTCGAAGTAAATTTTTTTCAAAAATGTTAATCGTTTTTAAAAAAAATAATAATTTTTGGTACGGGAAGTTCCAGCAATTTGCCTTAAGGCACGATGCCCTAATTGCCTTAAGACAGAATTCCACTTACAGCTAGTTCATTTATAGTTTTATATTATTAGATTTGATGTAAGTATAAAGAGCACCATATAATCTTGTATCTGTCAGCACTGTTATAAAATTAATTGGAAGGTAGATTTTTTGTTTGATTATTTCCTCCTATAGTTTTTGTCTGCCTTTTTCCCAACGTTTATACTCCATGATGATGTGTTCTGCATCCACCCTAGTCGCTTTACCCAAGCAGTAGCAACTAGGATCGATATCGATCCCAATTCTGCTTAGGCAGAACGGAGCGTATGAATGATTGAGTCTTAGTCTACACAATGTAGCGTAAACCGGCCGACACTCCGTAAATCCGTCATACCATGGTTTGACTGGAATTTTTCCTTGTATCATAACATAACATCTACCTTTAATTCTAATAGATAACTGGAAATCCAATTGCCAAATGTTCCGTATGTTTGCTCGGTTAAATCTTTTTATGTCTCTATATGATATTCCATCCGCAGCAACAGTCCCTGTATTTATTGCATCTTTGGCGCCGTTATCCGCCGTTTCGTTGCCAGCTATCCCAATATGGCTTCTTACCCATACAATGCGTAACTCCCAATTTTTTGATAATATCGCATGTATGTCATTTAGTGTATCTATCGTTAATAATGACGGGTCCTTTCCCAACGACAACATGCCCTCGAGAGCAGACCTGCTATCGCTGATTATGACCGATTTCTTCACATTATGTTCATCAATATACTTTACGCACCTATTAATAGCGTACATTTCCGCTGTATATATCGACGCATCTTTATCTAGTCTATATTTTGTAAAGGAATTTGTCCCCTGATGCTAAAAACACGCACCAACACCATCTGAATTCTTCGAACCATCTGTATAAAATATATCATAGTCTTCAAATGAGGGGCGTAGCGTGCCTTGACGGGGCCCTGTATCAAAATTTGTTTGGGAGCCCCCTCAAGAAGAATTTTTTTTTGCGATATATAAAAATACATAAAATTAAAAGAATATTTATTTATCATTCTAATTATTTATTTATAGAATTTTCTTTAATTTTCTGAATTTTTCACAAATGATTCCAGATCTCACTCTTCTTGCCTTTTTTGAAAAAACTGAATTATTGAATAATCTTTAAATTTTATAAAGTTTCTGTTTCTGGGAGCATACAGGTCTGGTAGACATTTCTGTTCTAAGGTTTTTACGTAATTTTTAATTAGTTTCAATTTTAAAAATTTCTTTTAGCAGTTGCGATTGTAACTGGAAGAGGGACCAGGAATAAAATGGTTACTGTTATTTCATTCGGATAACTGCAACTCTATTGCATTTCTTAAATTTCTTAGATTTTTGTATTCAGACTTATTTCTAAAACCATCAATTAGTCATGATCATATAAATATACAATATTTCATGATTTTCATGAAAGTTTCAGAAAATAACTAATAATTGGAAACAGTGAAGAAATAAATCTGAAAATAATTTAGTTGATCATATTTATCAAAATCTAATAATTAAACTGATGCATCATGCAGTCAATTTAACTAGTAACAGAAACATATATAAAAATGTTAGAAATTTAACTATAAAAATTTCAAATTCCAATTTTCGATGAAGAATTTATAAACGGGATTAGTTTTATAGATTTGTTGACAAAAATATTAATTTATGCGATGTGCAAAAGCTTTACTAATTGAATTGATTACTAGAGCTTGCAGAATCTCTTAAAGCGTTAGCTTACAAGTTGAAGTTCAATACCTTTCGATAACAAAAGGAAATGCAAACTACTTTAAAATTATTAATTTTTTTTAAAAACATTGTTGTTTTGTTTTCTGTTATGCTCGTTGGGGGCCCCCCTGGGTCGGGGGCCCCGTATTTTTGATACGGCTGATACGGCGTATTTTTGATACGGCGCGACACGGCGGTAGTTACGCCCCTGCTTCAAATGTTTCCTGTATACTTCCTTCGACCTCGATCCTACATTTATTAGTATCTCCGCTATAGTTCGCATTGGCGAAATCGATTTGAATTATATTTTTCAGATTAGAAGAAGTAACATTGTATTTGAAATGAAATCTTGAGGTTGCAGTCCAAGTTTGTAAGAAATTACATTTTTCTACCACTTCACGATACGCAGTTACTAGTATAGGCCTCTTCCTATTTCTCCAGTATGGGCTGTTCAGTTCATTATTGATCTGATTCACAATCTTTAATACTACGTTGTTAAATTTCATTCTATCTATGATAAAGTTTGAAGCCAACAACGTCCTTCACAAGTGTAAATGATATATGTTAGCTTCAACATGTAATGCTATGATAGGCGTGGAACGCATGACCCCAAAACAAGACCTCAAAGCTTTGTTTTGGATTGTGTCTAGTTTGCTAAGTACACTTTTGGATGCGTCGCCATATATGAAACTACCATAATCCAACTTAGATAGTATTAATTGCTTATATATTCTAAGAGTAATCTTGATATCAGCACCATAATTTATGTGATTAAGAAACCTGAGAATATTCAGTGCTTCTTCACATTTAGAGACTAGATAATCGATGTGTTGTTTCCACTTTAATTTGTCATCAATAAGTAGCCCGAGACATCTAATTGTAGGTTCAACCTTCAGATTATAATTGCTTATGCTGATATAGTCTGGAATTATAGACTTCCTATGTCTTGTAAAGAGGCTAATTGTACTTTTATTTTCTGACATAAAAAAACCCTAACGATATACACCAATTATGGAAGAGTTGCATTGTTATATTCATTTCATCAATAGCCTCATTCAAAGTTTGCGCCTTATGTAGAAATATAATATCGTCCGCGTACTGCATAATTTTGACTTCCAGATCTAGCTCGGTTTGTAGCTTGCAGGTATATAGATTGTATAATAGCGGACTAAAAACGGATCCTTGAGGTAGTCCTTCTTTCATTTTACGTGGTCCAAATTGTAAATTGTTACACCTGAGATTGATTCTGCGGTCTGATATGAGATGGTGTATATGAAGAATAAATCTTCTTGGCATCTTGATATCAGACAGAATCTTCATTAATATAGGTATTTGAACGCAGTTATATGCTTTAACTAAGTCCACGTTTGCAGTCATCAGGAGATTATTTTTTGCTGAATTAATTTTGATTTTATACACTAAGGATGTGATAACGTCAATCGTACCCCGATTATTACGAAAGTCTAGCATGCAACTCGGGAATATCTTATTGCTTTTCGCCCACCATTCCAATCTTCTTTTGATCAGTCGTTCGAATGTAGTAACATATTCTTGCCAAAACTGGATAGTTTATTCAACATTGGATAATGAATATTGTCCGCACCCGGTGTAGTGTTCGAATTTGTTTTTAGTGCCAAAAAAGGCTCCTGCATTGCGAAAGGACCTTCCAATACATCAATTTCTTGTGCGCTTGGTATATTTACCTCATTTGTTGCTGAGGCCGGGGTAATATTGTTAAGGAACTTATCTGATTCATCTATAGAAAAAGGATTTTTTTGCACGACTTCCGAGTCAGCTTCTTTGATCTTCCAAATATGCCT